GTACAAATTAGATGATAGAAATACTATTCAATTTTATTACTGGAACAAGCACATACATATATCCTTTTCTCATAAATACCGATAGTTTGTGTAAATAAATAACAGATATAAAGAATAAAATTATTAAACAAAAGAATGCCATCTACCTTTTCCAAAACAGAAAATGTAATTACAAATTTATAAAAAAAAGGTTTTTAGATTACTTTGTGAACTCAAAGATTTGGGAAGCCATTAAAGATATCACAAAAGAAATGAAGAAAGCAGGGTATATTAAAATGCTTGTAATTTCTTAGAGATTGAATCGACTTTATTCATCTCTTTGAAGTGAATATCAACTTTACTTAAAGTCAAGTCTAATCTTTGTTATTAATTCTTAGTCACATTGAAGCTGCGTATTTGTGTGTTAAACTTCATTTGTTATTTGTCTTTCTTGTCTCCGAAAGATCTTGTTGAAAGATATTTCAATTATTTGGTTTATTGAAGCCTGCCGTTACTGAAAAAAATTTCCATTCTAAACAATTTTAATACAAATATGCCTTTAACAACACTTCCCAAATAACTACTAGTTTTCTAAAATAATAAATTCTTATTGTGATAGATTAAAAGATAAAATAAAACAATGTTTTCACACAAAGTGACTTTATTTACAATATTTTGATTACACTGTCAACTTACATCAAAATCAAGTGTTGTTAATTATCACAATCAAGTTCACCAAATCCATCACAACCAAAAATATAAAAAAAAACAGGAAGTAATTAAAACAATTCTCATGTTTTTCATAATGTGTTCTTCACTACAACTCTGCATGGTTATGGTACTACATTTGTAAGTAAAGAAATCTAGCCTATTAAAATAACAGTAAATCAGTCACTTCCTTTATCAGCTAAACTTTGTAAACAAATGTGCTTTTATAAGAATAACTAGGTATTAAAAATACTCAACACATCTCATTTATTGGCCATTTTTAACATACAACTAGTGATTGAATGGAAGTTAATTCACTACCCACCATAAAACTAACCCTGGATTCTACATGTACACATACTTTAACTGTATGCAGAATATAATAATGATATAGCACATAAGTGTAATGCAATATATAAGAGGATATTGGCATCAAAGTCTTGCTTGTTACACCTTCTAAATATTTTGTGTTACTGTAGAATCTATAAACCAAAAGCATTTAAGTCATGTTATAAATACAAGTTTGTTAAGTGCTTTTAAGAACCCTACGTTGATATTAGCTTAAATTATTGGCACAATTAAAAAAATATACAGTATTGAATGATGAATTTCTAATAGTGTAAAATTAAAAAGTAAAACAATACAATACAATTTTATTGTGTAAAAGTTTTTTTTTATTTGTACTGAGCTAATTTTCTAGTAGAAACTTACTTGTATTAGAGCAGTTTTTGGTTATTACACCTTTTGACCAAGTTTTGTCTTGCTGTGATCGTGTGGTTATTACACCTTTTGACCAAGTTTTGTCTTGCTGTGATCGTGTGGTTATTACACCTTTTGACCAAGTTTTGTCTTGCTGTGGTCGTGTGGTTATTACACCTTTTGACCAAGTTTTGTCTTGCTGTGATCATGTGGTTATTACACCTTTTGACCAAGTTTTGTCTTGCTGCAATCATGTGGTTATCACACCTTTTGACCAAGTTTTGTCTTGCTGTGATCGTGCAAACCTTTTGCTATACACATACTGTGATGATATTTCTTTTAATGTTCATTAAACTTCATCTTTCTTTGTTATGTTCTATTTAAACGTCATTAATGTAACTAACTACTGAAAGGCAAGTAATGAACTGATTAATATTCTATCAGAGGTGAACAACTGGGATTGGAGTGTCTCTTTTAAATGTTATAATTTCTAGGTAGACAATACTTATTTATTCACTTTTTCTTACTTATACAAATATCAGCATGATATTTAGCATGTACTTAGCATGAATACTTATTAATGCTGTTGCTCCTTGATGGTTGCAAGTTATGTGTTTTTGACTACAGAGCTTTTAGACATTAGCCATACCTGTTATAAAACCTTTCAATTTTAAGCACTGAAATAATAATCATGTAATTTATAAGGCACCACACAAATAGCAAATTGGTAAAGCTATCAGGAGCTATCTTGTTTGTTACCCATTTATGTCCAAAACTTTCTTTTCATCTACATGAACTTATTTGTTGTTTAACAGAAATGGGAAATAAAAAATACATAAAATATTTCGAAACAACATCTAAATTTTTGAATAGATTTTAAAACATTTGCATTGTTTTGACAAAAATTGGTAAACCTTTCTGACAAAAAATCATGTTTCATTTCATGTAAGAGTTGGTATATATTACTCTGATAAAAAAAATTTAACTTCAGAATGTTAGCAACTTAAAATAAATGTAACTTTAACTTACAGAATACTAGCTGACACTTCAACCAGTTATAGTACTTATTACCTCTTATACATAAGTGTAGTTAGTTTACAACATTTCAAAAAGTTTCCCCACATGTTCATCAAGCTGCACCTTAACCATTTTATATGTACATTTGTTTATCCAATAAGAATCACTTATTAGTTCTCTATAACAATGACATTTAGTTGAAAAGAAAAGCTTTAAGAAATATAAGTTATTTTACAAACAGTGGCTGGCACTGAAACATTATGAAAGTAACGAGTAGTTTAATACCTACAAGTACCTATTTAAAAACAAAAACATTTAATATTTTAAAACAATTCACGATAAAATACAATTGGCAGTTTTTTTATTGCATCTATCTAACTGAGCTTCAAAGCTTCTTGATCAAAAAAAGCAATATTACACATCATACTCTCACATTTTGAAGAGTAAGGAACAAAGCTTTCACCTGAAAAAACTTTGAATGTTTTTCTAAAAGAATGAGAAAGGGAATGGAGCATAAAAAAAAAAAGATCATAAACATGCTTCATGATGTTGATATAAAAGCAGATGGTCTGAGGTGGTGAACTGTTCCCTTAAATAATTTCTTAAGAATATATTTCATTATAGCTAGACTTAATAACCTTGTAAATAACAACAATGCTAATAAAGAGACTATTATTCAAACTGTAAAAAATCTCAATTTTGTGAGTGCAGCGTATGCATAGAAAAAGTAATTCTTCATTTACAACTAATATTCTCAAAAAAAAAAAATGTGAAGGAGAATTACAAAAAATATATTACATTATGACACTGGTTATGAATAAAAAGTTATATTTGTATGCTGAACGTTTGTTATATTGAGAAATCAATAATGAAATTTAAAACAACAAATATTAAAATAGGAATAAAATAAATTATACCAAGAGCAAAATGAAACTGCTCAATCTAACTTTAACCATTAATATAATACATGTAAAAAAAAAGGAATCTCATCAAGGTGAATAAAGTCATCCAGATACCATAAAAAAAACTAGTGGTTAAGATAAATTGCTTGTGATAAACCCTTCTTTCACTTACTCCAAACCTGAACAATATTGATATTTAGGAAATATCTTGCTTGTCCTAACACACATGTGCATACTAATTTAAAAAAAAAGATAAAGTTAGAAGCTAATACCCAAATTCTCAATAAATTAAAAAAGTATTATTTTGAATTAGGGTATCTAATTACACACATTTGTATAATTTATTTCTGCATACAGATAATGAAACTATCACGTACTAGCCACACAAAAATGCTTCATTGGCATGTAAGTGCTACTAAAATGTTTCAAGTGAGAGATTCAGAAACTTAAATCTTAAAATCTTTCTTATAAGTGATATTGTTCACAGCACACAAAGTGCTAATCTAAATGTAATAACCTATGTCTGAATGTCAGATATAAGCAGAAAATTATGCCCCTCTCTTCTGAATAAAGCTGAAAAACTCCCTGAATAACAGACTAGTACCTGAAAAATATAAAAATTTACAATCTTTATTTCTTGAAAGTTTAACCTTATATTACACACAATTCTTGAAAGCAAAGATCCTATTTTAAAACAACTTTCATAGAAAGACCAAACAAGAATTTCACACAATGCACACATATGTATTTGTATCATAAAAATACATTGCCTACAAAATGTTTTTATTTTATCTCTGTTCTATTCTGTACCTGTAAGCACATCAAAAGTATAACTATTTATCTAGATTTATATAAATCTTGACTTTGAAATTATTTCATGCATACTTTATCATATATATATATATATATATATATATATATATATCAATAAGCACCATAATTTATGAATATGGTCTCCACATGATAATGCATTCTAAAATGTCCATAGGATTACCTGACAAACATCATGAAGAACATGTTTAATGAATATTTCAGAATGATCAACTTCAACAAAAGATAAATACAAAATGAATACCAATTATACTTTAATAAATGGAATTTTTATAAAGAGCTTTGATTAAACAGAACCTTTCTATTTAAAATTAAAATATTTTGTTGAATTAAAATTTTTTGAATCTTAGGCTCTTCTGCAGTCTTGGTTTTTCAAGTGGATCAAATCTCAGAATCTTATGCCGAGACCGTATTCAAGCCTCTGTTGCTTTTGTAGTAAAAATTACTTTTATTTGGGGAGTATGGTCCTACTTCTGAATGTTTGGGGAATAAGTGCACTTGTTAATAAGCTATAGTAAATGATGTTATCATTGTGACTGTCACATCTGTAGGAAATGGAAATTATTTGTCAATAATATTTAAACCTTGGTCAGGATCAAAACGTGGTTAGTGTATTTAAAACACAGAAGGATAGTTTAGTTTTTCTTGAATTGTGTCTAGGATTTAGAACTCATCATAGATGAAAATACAAACAATATGAAGATTTTTTTTAGTCTCTCAGTTTTGTCAATGCCAGCATATAAAACATTTGGCAGACAGCAGAAAACAGATGTGTAATTTGCTTATATTTACAGTACCTTACCAACACTTACATAACAAACTTACCCTATTCACTTCAGAATCTAACAAATCATATTAAGTCAAATGTGGCATCATCAGAAATACGTATGATCAAGAGAGTAAAATATTTGTGACAGAAAAATATATATATATTACTAGCTGAACACTTGATCATCAGTTACCAAGACACACAGATCAACTCAACCTGATTAATACGTCCAAATAAAAGGCAAGTTTTCAATTCTATACATCCCATAAATAAACAAGAAACTAAGAAAAATTAACAGAGATAGAAATCTTTAAAGATAATTTTGATATTTTCTACTTGGTGACTGAATCACTAATATCGACTAAATATCACCATGTGGTCACCATTATGTTTGTTTTTAAAATATGCAGTAATCCCACACTGATCTTTCATAAATCAAATGAACTGATAATCTAAGTAATGAAAACATGTTTTATTATCACCAATACGGGTAATAATGTTTTTTATTGAAAAAAATATTTGCATTGCAATTAGAAATAATTGAGTAGTCAGTTAGCCAATTTATTCTGTACATTGTTTGAAAAGGATAAAAATACAAGTATTGTTCAAATAAAGACTTGAGTCATCAGAATATTCTGCAATTGTCTACTGTATTCACTAAATAGTACAATTAAATAGATTTATCTGCTTTGATGATGATGTTATTTAGTGAACATAATAAAAAAATCTCATGTTTACAAACACTGTATCTCAATAAAACCATAGCATATTGATTAAATAGCAAAAACACTGTAATTTTAAACAGAGAGTCAAACATCAACAAGATACATTTATTAAGTGTCAAAGACTCTCCAGTCATGTGGCTTCTTTCTTTCACACAGTATATATATATATTCCTATGTCTAGGCAAATTACTTGTACCTGATGATAACAAAACCTCTTCCAAACATTGTACATTTGTTAATGTATTAAATTTGTAATAAAATTGTCTTTGTTACCCATTTAACCCTTCTATAAAATGTATAAGGTTAATCTTATCTGAAGTTATCTGATATCTTAGCATTTGAAAATCATTTCTGTAGCTTTCAAACAGATGTAATTTAACACATAAATGCTTTTACAATTCACAAACGTTTAGAGATACTATGAAAAAAAACAAACTTCTAAACTTTTATATTTACTCTAATATCATGTGATAATGTAATTCTTGCTCTGTCCAATCATATTTAAACTTGATGTGGCACCACAGCAGGGTTTCAACCAAGCCTGTACAAAAACTATGGGAAATGCTTAAAAAATCAAGAAATGAATAGTATATTCTCAAGGGGTGATCAAATCTTAGCAAAAATAAAGTTATTCTTTGGGTTGCGCAGAAAAATTCTACAAACGATGAACAAGTAGGTTAATTTTCTTACAGTTAAAACTATCTGCTGCTGTGTAAAAATGAAGATATGAACTTTTTTTTTATTTTTCTTTGTGATTTACACTAAATAAATGTCAGAAAATGACAAAATATTGATTTACATTTTTCTGAGCTATAATTGTTGAAATCTCGTTAGAATGAACATACAGAATTCACTTTAAAACCTGTATCTCAAAACATTTTATCAAGTGGCATATAATATGAAAAGCCAGAAGAAACCATGTCTTCAGAATTCAGACATGATTATTTAGAATTAAGTTGCTTTATTAATCCTAAACTTTGTACATGAAAATGAATCATACAAGCAACTGCATTGTTTAACAATTGGAAACAATAAAAAATTTATTCACTTAACAGTCATCTGTTACAAAAATACTGTGTACACTTTATCTCTAGTAATGTAATTGATATGAGAGTTTAATATTTTCCTTTTCTGAAAAGGTACTTCAGATAGTTAGTCACCTGCACACACACAGTTTAGCGATCTTCCTCATGCATCTGCCAGAGAGCTGCATGCAACTGGCATTGAGGCAACTCCCACCTAATTTCACATGATGAAATCATTATGCGAGAAAAACCCTCCAACAATAGGAGAGCAACACAATTCCATGTGCAATAACTCCCCCTATGCATTTGAAAAATTGCATTCTTTGATGAGGCAAGAAAAATAAAAGGTGCAATGGAAGTGGGAATAAGTGCGAAGATGAGCATCTGTTGGAAATGCATTTTCAGGTAAAAAAAATGTTAATTTTCGAGAGAATACCTCATCTCCACACATAGTTTAACTAAAATCCCATGTTGAAGTGATAGAGAGGCCAGTGCAAATTTTACTTAGATGAGTATCCTTCAGAAAGTGCTTGAAGAAAGCCCATGGGGTGTGAGACCTGATGGCAGGAGCTCCATAGGGGCATAGCCATGAGAAACCATATCTCGTCTCGTACATGGTATACTCTTCACTTGTAAAGGACAAAAGGAAAGAGACAAAGAAGCCATATGTGTTGTACGGATTGGCAGAATATAATTATGATCATCCAAGTACTTGCATACAAGCAATTGGACAGCTGCGTGTGGAGGGCATATTACATGTGTAATATTGATTCTTATGCACACCTAAATTCTACCATCAGATGCTACAAGACAGACTCCAACTACAGAAGGAGGGCATATTTGTAATACATCACAGTTTCCTACAGTTTGTGCTTGCCTCAACTTTACCATTAGACTCTACAGGACTTACTCCATTTCATGACATAAAAGACTATTTAGTTTAGATATTATTGATTAATTTATTTTGCGAGTGAATATTTTATTATTGTTTAGTTTTATTATAATAAGAGTTAAATAAGATTATTAGAATTTGTGTTTATAATTCATTGATGTTGAGATTATTGAATATCGCATGCAATACACTGACGTTGAAAATATAGAGATTTCTATAAGGCGGGTAGATGATTAAGTGATAAACATATAAATAGTGTGAGGCGAGCAGAAACAGCACAGACAATAGCAGAAAAGAGTAAAGTCACAGCCAAGGAAAAATTTGGAATGAAGTTAATTACCGTAGAAGTGATAGGCCTAGTGATTAACATTGGTCTAATATTTAATATGTCAGAGTAAGACTAACAGTAGAAAAGGAGATAAGACAAATAATTCATTCCATCAAAGCGTGATTCTAAAGTAATTGAATCAGCTAGAGTGCACTTTGACAAAAGGAACAGAGGATATTTAGAAGAAAGAAGACCAAACAATTACTAGAAGAGTAGTATATGACTGTGGTAACTCGCACCACAATTGTAAGCAAATCATTGTATACACAGAATACTAGTGTGATAGTAATAGAGAAAATCTATCTACTGAAATTCTAAAGCAACTGAATAGGCTTAAGTGGACTTTTGACAAGAAGAAGAGAACTATATATATATATAGTGTTTATGATATGCCTATAATCTCCATAGCGTGAAGAATGTGTTGTACGTACATTTAACTTGTTCTGAATATATATATATATATATATATGTATCATTTTGAAAAGTGCGTGCTGTTCATTTATTGCCAACAAGTCACAGACACCTACTGTAGAAGGATACTAAGCCCAACAACAACACAGTATATTTTTATACTATTAAAAAGTATAGGTAAAAGCCTTTAATTGACAATTGGTAAACATAACTTAACATCTGACGCTCCAGCTGTGTTAGGAGAGCACTATATCTATGGAGTATGGGCTAGTATAGAGTGTGTTCTTCTTGACTCTACTGAACAGACATTAGCTGCAGGAGGAAGACATATCAGATACACACACACACACATATATCAAGGTAGTGTAAAGTGAGTATTTAACTCAACTGAAAATGCAGATTTGGGGTAAGTATACCATGGGAGGCAACATCAGCCACCTGGTGCAATCCAATGAAACAAAAAAGGGGTGATGAAAGAGAAATAGTATGCATTCTTATTTTACAAAAACAGTGTAGAGATTGAAGAATGGAGACCTGTAAAAGCCAAAAACCATCAAGAAATAAAACAGCCAGAAGATGTAGAGGAGGAGGAGACAGATTTATTGAGAGTGTCCACATGCCTG